CTAAAGAGAAAAGCAGAGTTTATCAGCTTTAATTCATTCTGCCTCTCAATTGTCAGATTACTGAGCTTAATAGAAAGAAATAAACCTTGGTAAGTACTGTTTTCTTTTGTAGCATAAATCCAAGGCCAGTTGAAATTCATGAACTATAACAAATTTCACTAATTAAAAACAATATAAAAATATTTTGTCTAGCAAATTCTTATATTAAAGAATAATCTAAGAGGTTTGCTAAGAATGTTGTAAAACCCAAATAGGCAACATGGCTCTCTTTTTTATCCAAGGTGTGACTAAACTTTTTGCTTATCTTGTGAACTGAATTGGATGTTTTTGTGTTTTTAAAATTATTTTTCTTTTCAGCAATCTACTAAACGTATGGTTCTTATTTTCCAAATTCATTTGTTAGGATGTTTGGTAACTGGGCCAGACCCTCAGGATGACAACAGAACACCCACAGCAAGTCTGGCATTGTGCTAACCCTCGTACATGTTACCACTAATCCTACCAATAGTCTCACAATGTAACAGTATTTCTCTCTTCTTATAAACCACACCAATAAGGTTCAGAGAAGTTAAGGGACTTACCCTAGGTCCCATCATTAGGTTCAACTCTTAAGGCTATGTTCTACTTTCCACTGCATCTAATGCTTCTTTCAGAAGCTTTGCAGGTATGTTCTGAGGCATACTCATTATAGTGACAACAATGCCAATGAGACATGAGCTCAAGTCCTCACTGAGGTAGGATCTCTGGAGTCCCACCCCCTCCTGTGTTCTTTCAGTTCCCAGCTGGGATCCTGAGTGCTCAAGCCCTGTCCCTGCCCCAGTGGTCAGCACTGAGACCCACCATCTCCATACACGTGACCAGGTGCTCCTTGCCTCTGGTCGCCACCACGGGGTTCTCTTCCTCTTTGCTGTCACTTCTCCTCTTCCTGTAATGGCCAATGTCACCACACTGAGTTTCATTCTGCACCAAGTCCAGGGACCACCACCCCCACAAGACCTTCCCTCTTTGGCTATTGTTCCGAACCCCACCCTCAAGAGAGGGAACAGGGTCCCTGCTCAGAAGCAAAACCTTTACTTACGTGTCCAAATGAAAAAGGAAAGGGTGGCTGTTGGCCTCTAAGCATCTTCACCATTAAAGTTGAGACAGTGTGAGAATCAACATGGCATGTGATTGTTTCTGTGAAAAGTGAGTATCCTGCAATAGTGAATACTCAATGAATTATTGTTGAACATTGAAGAATGCACATAATTCAAGTATAAAAGAACAAGGCAGGGGCGCTTGGGTGGCTAGGTCAGTTAACTATCCAACTCTTTATCTCAGCTTAGGTTTCAATCTCAGTGTTGTGAGTTCACGTCCCAGCATGGAGCCTACATAAAAAAAAAAAAAAAGAAAGAAAACAAACAAACAAACAAAAAACAAGGCAGCCATGAAGATAGTAATAACTGAGCTCAAGTTTCCATTCAAAAGCGATGGTCAGTGTTTCCTTGCTTCCTGATTTATATCTCAACTTTGTCAGTCCTATGAGTTTGAGGTTATTCACATACATTTTAAATAAACATCTAATTTAATGGCTAGATTTGAGTTAATTTGTTATGAGTTAAATTTCATCACGAAGTCACATTTATTTAATGACAAATATTTATTGAGTTCATATTATGTGCCAAGGAACAGAGCAGTGAATAAAAACAAAGACCCTTCTTTTCTGAGACATATATGGGGCCTCTGGGTGTCAGAGAGAACAGTAAACAAAGAAGAAATCAAAATAATAGAAAATTTTAAGAAGAAGATAAAACAGAATTAAGGGACAGTAGTGATGGGTATGAAAAAGCTATTTCAGATGCTTTAGTCAGCAGAGGCTTTCTTGATAAAGTGACATTTGAGGCAGGACCTGAATGGCTGAGGGGAGCAAGTCATGTGGAGATGATAGAAAACACCAAGGCCCCAGAGTGGGCATTGTGCTTAGCATGTTCTGTATCCTGAGATGGGGCAAGAGTGCTTGAAAGGAAAAAAAAAAAAACAGGCAGGAGGGGAATAGAAGATGAGCTCAGAAACATAGCAAGGAAGCTAGATCATCTTGGGGCTTGGAGGTTGTAACGAGTCATACCAAAGTGGTGATCCTGTCCAGGGTTTGAAATGGCTCAGTAACGTGTTTGCCACAGAGGGATGTTGTAACAGAAAGTATTGTGAGCTTGTGGCAGGCACGTCTGGTTCAGATTAGGTCTGAAAGCTGCGTCAGGGGCTTAACCTTCCGTCTCGTCCAATTCCAGGGCTACTTGGGAATCTAGTTAATCTGAAAGATTTGAGGTAGTTTTCAAAATAATTTTGCAACTCTTATCAGAGGGTTGTGGGAAACCATTACAGGCTCAATGTCATGCATATGCAACAGTTTGGGCCATGAATAATTTTACTATAGACCCAGTAGCTTGTAACATACAGTGACATCATTTGTGGGGCATGAGGTACAAGTTCACAGCCTGAGAGAAAGAATAAATATAAATATGAAGGTCAAGGTATATTATTTACGGATTTTATATCACAAATAATAGAAACCAAACAAAGCTGGATTATAAAAAGAAAAAAAAAGACAAAGATAATTCACTATAAGGACATGGAGTGGTTCCCAGAATATAAGAGTGGGAGGCAGTTATGCCTTAGAAAGGGATTATTCAGAAATAGAAAATTGTCAAGATTCTCTCCATCTCACAGCCCTATATTTTCCTACCCATATGCTTCATGCTTAGCTCCCTCTGTACACAGAAGAGAATCTCTTGGCTGGGATCATTTGTTTTCTCTTGGTCCAATCAGTTATAACCAAAGAAGTGAGATCAAGAAGTATCGACAAGCATGGCTGTCAGAGCCTGCTCCTGAGGGTCACCCTCAAAGAGGGTAGTGGGTTGGGCAGACAAGCCAAGCAACCTTTGCCACATAGGTCTACGCTTAGGTCATCCACCAATACATTTATTTTATGTGCAGGCAACTTGGAAAAGTACTCCTAAAAGATTTCCTACCCCAATCCAAGGGGTAATTTTTAAGGGGTGAGAAATGATAAGGCAGGCAAAAAAATATGTAAAGAAAAATCACGCAATGTATGTATTTTTCTTGTGAATTGTGGTTTTTAGTGAGAAAATTTCTCCATCACGTCAACATGGTGTAATGGGACGGAAAAATGGACTTAAGTCAGAAAATCTGGTTTAGGGGTGCCTGGGTGTCTCAGTCGGTTAAGCGTCTGCCTTTGGCTCAGGTCATGATCCCAGGGTCCTGGGCTTGAGCCCCACATTGGGCTCCTTGTTCAGTGGGGAGCCTGCTTCTCTCTCTGTCTGCCACTCCCCCTGTTTGTGCTCTCTCTCTCTCTGTCAAATAAATAAATTAAATTAAATAAAATAAAAAGAAAATCTGGTTTAAATCTTGGTGTTATTAACTAATGGTCATGGGAAGGTGAGCAATTCATTCTGGTTCTCAGATAAATGATGCAGTTGGACTAGATTCTCCTTAAGGTAGATACTCTTTGACTCTAATATAATATTTTCATTTGGTAGCAAATAATTTCTTAGGCATTTGTTCTCAAGTTAATTGCAAACATATAGCAAAAATGGTTAAGAAACAGGCTTTACATCATCATTGATAATAACCAAGACAGGGAAACTACCTAGCTGTCCATCAGTGATGAATAGATAAAGAAGTTGTGGCTCATATATATATTAGAATATTTTTTTAAGATTTCATTTATTTATTTGAGAGAGAGAGAAAGAGAGAGGGAGAGAGAGAGAGCACGAGCAGGGAGGGAGAGGGAGAAGCAGGCTCCCCGCTGAGCAGGGAGCCCAGTGTGGGGCTGGATCCCAGAACCCTAGGATCATGACCAGAGCTAAAAGCAGACACTTAACCGACTGAGCCACTCAGGTGCCCCTATACAACAAAATATTATTCAGCCATAAACGAAAAGGAAATACAACTATTTGTGACAACATGAATGGACCTTAAAAGCATTATGCTAAGTGAAATAAGTCAGACAGAAAAAGACAAATACTATATGTACTATGTGATCTCAATTACATGTGGAATCTAACAACAAAACAAAACAAAACAAAAAAACACAACATGAGAAAAACCCCACCAAATTCTTAGAAAAAGAGATCAGATTTGTGGTTACAAGAGGGGGTGGGGGAGCACCACTGGAGGAAGGTGGTCAAAAGGTACAAATATGCAGTTATTAGATAAATAAGGACTAGAAATGTGCTGTACAGCATGATGACTAGAGCTAACACTGCTGTAGGATATATGGGAAAGTTGTCACGAGAGTAGATCCTAAGACTTCTCATCACAAGGAGGAATGCTTCTTTCTTTTCTTTTTATTGTATCTATATGAGAAAATGGATGCTAGCTGACCCTATTGTAATCATTTCACAATATATGTAAATCAAACCATCATGCCCTGTCTTAAACTTATACAGTAAAGTATGCCAATTATTTCTCAATAGAACTGGGGGGAAAACAAAACAAAACACACACACACACACACACACACACACATGCACATGCACACACAAAGGATATAGAATCTTATAGATTTGAGTTTTCTCTTGACCCTGCCAGTTTTTGACTTTGCATAAATTCTTAAATTAGTTAATTTCCTAAATCCAAGTTTGCTTATCTGTAAAATGCAGGTATGGGTGATACTTCAATGGACTGTTGTGTCACTGAATAAGAAATTGAAGAAATTGTAGGTCACCCGGTTCACCGTGAGTGCTCAGTTCTGGTCATTGTTATCAGACTGTGAAAATGCCTAAACTTGTTTGTATCTTACTTTATCACTTTGTATAAATGTGCAAGTAAGTGAAAATTAAACTCCAATATTCCTTAAAGTGCTCTAATGTCATGGACTAAGACAAAATGAGATCAGAGATCGGGAGATTCTAGAAAGGTGTCATTGAAAATTCATTGTACCCTTAAATAATTGTTAATTGGCTTTGTAAAATGTGTCTTTCCCATTCCCCCCTGGGCAGATGTGAAAGCATGGAGCTGGACAATAAAATCCGAGATCTGATTGAGAGGAATGCTTCTCCGGATCTTAAAGGGGCCGCCACAGGAGCCACACCAAGTCACAGAAGTTCATGTTCTCTAAAGGTAAGAAACCACCTTTTTTTCCACATTTTCTCAAAACACCCTTCAACAGTGTGTTCACTGAGAAGAATTTATGGGGACAGTCCCCAAATCATTTACAGTAATGTACTTCCTTGATGACTGAGAGGATAAAGTCAACCACTATAAAACCTTTCTTACACAGTCACTTCCTGTTACTGAGGAAACCCTTCTAGCAGAAACACTTTCCCATTTAAAGTGTGATGCCAGGCAGGCAAGTGTTGCTACAGGGAAGTGAGGACGATCTCACACTATGAAAAAGAATGTTAAGTACAGCGACATCTCTTTTTTGGGGAGGAAGTCACCCAATTTGTGTAAACCTTCTTACATTGGATTACTAAAATGAGTACAATTCATTGTCCATTTTTTTTAACTTAAAAAAAATTTTAAAGATTTTATTTATTTGAGAGAGAGAGAGAGCCAGAGAGCACAAGCAGGGGGAGTGGCAGAGGGAGAAGCCGACTCCCCACTCAGCAGGGAGCCCAGTGTGGGGTTTGATCCCAGGACCCTGGGATCATGACCTGAGCCAAAGGCAGACTGAGTCAAATCTGAAGACAGCTTAACTGAGCCACCTAGGCTCAGTTTTCTTTTTAAAGAAAAAACAGGCTTTCCGGATAAAAGCAGTTGTCCGACTTTGAGTTTCCTATTTCAGGATACTTGTCTATGGTGCTTCATGGAAGCAAATTGAATGACTTTCTTGAATGCAACATAAATGACAACACAAAGTCAAGCTCTGTAGTCTCCTGATTAGAAACCATCTCTAATGATCTTTTCGAAAAATATCTAACATAAATAAGTTTGACAGTATGACTGACATTTAAAAAAACTTACATAACTTCTACTTCGGTTCTTATTTCTAAAGTAATTCATGCTTATTGTGGAAAAGCTATACTAAGCATAGAGAAAACTATAAAAATCATATAGAGATAGATTTCCTGTGGAGTTAATGAAGCTTGGATCCCACAGACAAATATTTACTTATATACCTAAGTTGCATTCATACATTTGTATCTTTTTCTCTTAAAGGAGGCCCTGGAATTGAATAAAGTTAAAACTCCAGACCTCACTGAACATAGATCTGTCTCTGAAATCTCCTCTTGGCCCACCACCACCAGAGAACATCTCTTAGCATTTGGGGTCTCTCTGTGTCTCTCCTTTTGTCACACACACACACATACACACGGGCACACACCCAGTTTGTTGAACCTACCTGTTTTCACTTTAAAAATATGTTGCAGATACTCCTGTACCTCTTTTTTCATGCATTTAGTAAACACAGAATTGTGTGTGTTTGGTATCTATGTACTTTTTCTTGTTTAGAAACTCACTTCTCCCTGACAAAATAGTATCTATTTTCTTAAAGATTTATTTATTTATTTTAGTGAGAGAAAGAGAGCACACAAGTGGGGGGGGAGGGGCAGAGGGAGAGAGAAAATCTCAAGCAGACTCCCCACTGAGCACAGAGCCCGGATGTGGGGCTCAATCTCACGACCCTGAGATCATGGCCTGAGCCGAAATCAAGAGTCAGATGCTTAACCCACTGAGCCACCCAGGCGCCCAAGTAGTATCTAGTTTTAAAGTTAGAAATGAATGTCTGCAGATGGTTAGAGCCCCCAAAGGCTTATTTCTCATTTCTCATCTCACCCCTTCCTCTCAACCCTCATACATACACCTCTAACTCCCAGTTAGGATTTTCCTCCTTCATGGAAATGTATGCTTTTTTCAAGTAGCCTTATTGTCTACTTTATGATGAGAGTTTGAATCCCCCCCAGTACCCTGATCCTCACATGCTCTGATTATCAGCCCCCGAGAACTGTTTGCTCGTGACTGACTTCCCTCCCAACTCTGTTCATTTTGTCTTCTGGATTCTTCCTCATTTGGTAAAGACCTCTTCTTCGTCCTCATTGTCATCCTCTTGGTAATTAGTTTCCTCTATTTTGGGGACTTAACCAAAACTTGTTATCTTTCTTTAAGATACTGCTTCTCCCATCACTTCCCTTATGAAATTTGCTCGTTTTCCTATACACCACACATCCTGGCTAAGGACTGCGGATTTCTAGTTGATTTTTTTTTCCCTTGTGAAGTGTGAGATAAAAAAATCTAGAGAAAGTGAGAAGGTGAGAGGTGAGATCCAGTGTTTAAGGAAGTTGGGGAAGGTATGGCATGGGCAGTGGGAGAAAGAAGAGAGGAATGAAATTGTAATGAGTTGCTGAATGGCCTTGAGGATGGAGTTGAGCTAGACAGCCACTACTTGATAATAAGACCAATCCCTCCATGGTATTGGGCTCCTATGTCTTCAATATCCCCATCACCTCCCACCAGCTTAAAATATGCTCAGCACTCCTCCACTTTTTTTTAAATTTTATTTTATTATGTTATGTTAGTCACCATACATTACATCATTAGTTTTTGATGTAGTGTTCCATGATTCCTTGTTTGTGTATAACACCCAGTGCTCCATGCAGAACGTGCCCTCTTTAATACCCATCACCAGGCTAACCCATCCCCCCACCCCCTCCCCTCTAGAACCCTCAGTTTGTTTCTCAGAGTCCATCGTCTCTCATGGTTCGTCTCCCCCTCCGACTTACTCCCCTTCATTTTTCCTTCCTACTATATTCTTCTTCTTTATTTTTTTAACATATAATGTATTATTTTTTCAGCGGTACAGGTCTGTGATTCGTCAGTCTTACACAATTCACAGCACTCACCATAGCACATACCCTCCCCAAAGTCCATCACCCAGCCACCCCATCCCTCCCACCCCCCAACTCTCCAGCAACCCTCAGTTTGTTTCCTGAGATTAAGAGTCTCTTATGGTTTGTCTCCCTCTCCGGTTTCATCTTGTTTCATTTTTTAACTCCCTTTCCCTATGGCCCTCTGTCTTGTTTCTCAAATGCCTCATATCAGTGAGATCATATGATACTTCTTTTTCTCTGATTGACTTATTTCGCTTAGCATAATACCCTCTAGATCCATCCACTTCATTGCAAATGACAAGATTTCATTTTTTGATGGCTGCATAATATTCCATTATATATATATACCACATCTTGTGTGTATATATATATATACACACCACATCTTCTTTATCCATTCATCTGTTGATGGACATCTTGGCTCTTTCCATAGTTTAGCACTCCTCCACTTTTAAACATATGTGAGATCCCATATTATTTTATGGGTAATGTTCTAACTTATTCTTGTGCATCATAGCCAAGCTTATTGATCAGGGAATCCAAAGCTTTTTGGCCCCTTATCACATCACTAATAAGCTCTGCCTTGAAAAATCCAATGGTCATTTTGCATCTGATTTTTCACTTGTCCTTTCATATGCATTTTATGCTATGCACTAATTCAACCTTTTAAAAGTGTCTTTTTCCATCAACAGTTATAAAATCAATCTCTCATCACCCCCCTCCCCCATAAACACACCTTTTTTTCGCTCCAATCTTTCCTCCTCATTCACCTTCACTGGCTTCACTTACATAACGGGCCTGTGTCATATCAGTGTTACCCAAGGATCTATACGTAGCCCTTGACTCATTAAACTACAAAATATATGCCAATTACTCCATACACATATAACTTCCTAAACTTGGAGTTCTTTTCTACATGCACGTCAATTTCACTCAGGAGTTGCAAAAGTGAATTCAACATCTTTCCTGTTAAAACTGCTTGCTTCTTCCCCTCTATATTTCTGCATTAGTGAATGGATCTTTATTCGTCCAGTTATCCAAATTTGGGTATAATCCTAGATTCCTCCAGGGCTACCAAGCTGCTCAACTCCAGGAGGCATTCATAGAATAATGCCAGCCTTCACCCTGGACCCTCAGGTTCTTGTCTCTTCCACCTTCGTAAAATCTTTGGACTTTGTTTCTTTTCCTTCACTCTTCCTACTGTGCCAAAGTTTGGATATTCATTATCTCTTGCCTAGACTACCCAGGAGATGCCTAGTTGCCCTTCTTAAGTTTTGCTCCACACTAATTCATATTTACCAATCTGGATCTTGCTAATGTGCAAGTGCTTAGAACCTAAAAGTAGACTTCCTTACCTACATCATAAAGTCCAAATGCCTTGGCTTGATATATAAAATCCTCCAGGGTCTAGTCCCTGCTCACAGTTAGAATAAAATAGTAGGGATAGAATCTAATATTTGTAGGTTAACTACCATAACAGGTATGGAGGTATTTTATGTTATGTTTGATATCTATAACAACATTTAAATATGGCTATCTTTATCCTCATTTTCCAGATTCCCTTTTTCTGCCTCCATGGTGTGAGGTAGGAGATTCAGAGTAGGTTCTGGGAGTGGGGAAATTCTTTCTTGTGGCTTTTGCTCCATTTTTATCTTCTCAAAAGCGTTTCAGACCCAGAAGGGAATATAACCCTCCCATTTCATAAAGGGGAAACTGAGACATTAAAAAACAGGCTTTTGGATATGGTTCTTGCAGCTTCTATTTGAGCCACTTCAGGGTCCCAGCGCTCCTGTCACCCTCTTGTCATCCTCTGGTCTAAGACAGGGTCAGAATGTGTGAATCTTCCCCAATAAAATATGTGACAAAGACAAAAAAAGCCTGTATTTTTACTCTCTCTCTGAGAAAAGTTTCCCAGGAACAACCCCTGGGAGTCTCTCTGCATCCCAACAGACTTCAAGCATATCTTTCTCAATTGTCCTCTGAAGGTATCTTCAAATATTTGATCGTTTGACACAGTTTAGTTTCCAGTTGGAATCTCAGCTGAATTACTATTTACCCAATAGCACTCTCCAGGAGGGAATCCTGCATTCAAAACAAAACAAAAACTTTTGCATTCTCACTGAGGTATCAATAGGACTGAAAAAAAGTATAAGAAAATTGCTTTTTGGTGTAAGACAAGGGTGAGCCAATGACAGAGAGACTGTGGAGGGTGTCTCTCATTTTCCACTGAATGAGATAACTATAAGAACAGTACAGTAGACTCCCTTTCCAAGAGCAGAAAATGCATTT